AACTTTCTTTAATCTTTCGTGCCACCCACCACTCTGGGTACCTATTTTTTAATCTCCACCATTAAACAGTACATAAGAGCTGCATGTATGTAACAGGTCTTGAGTAATATTTATTTACTGTAGTCAACTATATCTCCGTCCTACTTGTTTATTACCCAAGCATTTAGCGACGCCGGTGAAGTAACAGATTAAAAATTGATTTGTTCGATACCAAGTTGACTTATTGTCTCGCCTGATGTATTTCATGCGACGATAATCCACCCCGCATCAAAATATGCAGAATTAGTATTAGTTAAGTAAAAATTGTTGCGAAACACACCCTTCAAAATATGCAAAGTTTTTCTAACCTGAATTGTCAATTAAAACTCTACAAGCAATATATACGTTAAATGCACATAAATATGTATATTTACTATTTAGCATTATATACTCTTGGGTTAAATGCATTTAAATTCAATAATGGCAATCACATCATGTCAACAACGGCCGTGGTTGGTTATAAATAGAGGTCTAATAAAATTCGTATGTCAAATATGCGTCGCTGTCAAGTCTCCTCCAAATTTTTTTAGGTTTAACTTTCCATATTCGTGGTACGATTATTGTATGAATACGATACCACGAGCATCATTCCGAAGTAGAAACTTGTGCTCATCTCGTCTAATGAGATTTGACTAGACATGAAAACATTTTGTAATTTACCCAATGACATTGGGCAATGGTGGGGATTAAATCAAGCTTTGGCTGCGTGGTGAATTGTGGTGGTGTCCCGTCCTTAACAAATGCGTGATAATCCTAATCTCCCGATGACGCTTGATTTGATTTTATGTGATTGCTAATCGATCGTGCACAAGGGTTGAATTATGAATTGAATACTAATCAATTTAAGTCCTTCGTTCGATGATAAATCCTTCTGTAATAAATTTGGCTAACTTCACCTGTCACTTTGTACCATATCTTCATCCGAGTTACCAAGCCTTTATTCCTAATGAAGATGATATTTTCGTATTGTTGAATATTAAATGATCAAATGTGGACATCACGTCACAATTTATGTACAAGATGTTATTGTCAACAAGTTACCACAGACCAAAATTTACAGGCTCGTTTTGGATATTGTGTTGTAATCTGAATTAAAATGCAATAAAAAATTATAATCAAGTCTAGAGCTAAGGATACACCAAAACTTTTATACACTTCACTTATTTACCCAGAAACCTACATCGTGCAGGACTGCTGAACGATGGAATGAAGCTTCTAATGACTCATCACTTTATGTGAGGCAGTTTAAATGCCGAAGATTCGACAAACCGGGCATAAGACTGCCAAGTGCCAATAGAAATTTTTCTAGAAATTGTAGAAAAATTAGAAGCATAGCAATTCACATAATATAATTCATGATACTGTGAAACCTAAGATGCGAAAATCTCAATTAGATGCTGCTTATGAGCAGCTCATTAGTTTCAAGCACTCCCCCACGATTTAACAAACCAAGCAATCGAGATTGGCCTCGGATATACATGTCTGAGCTGGTCCTAACTGTATAATGCTTGAAAAGTGGCGTATTTTGACAAAAACGAGGCAAAGTGGAAATTCAAGTACGTCTTCTATTATATAGGAGCTTCTTACCATGCTAAATGACCGTTCAATAATTCACGAATTTGCACACTTTTTTACTGTGTCATTGTTGATCAGTGCCTAAAGCTAGATTTAGTATCACTTTCCTACGACGCGTAATTTCTGCACCATGTTTCTGTTGAGTCCAATTTTCTCGAGATAATTTTATTTTTTGCCACCTAATACGTCAACAGTTGGATGAAAATCGTGATTATCAAATCAAATACATTCCCAATTTTGACTCGTGCTTTGGTCACATTTCTAGTATTTAACTATTATTGGTAGCCATTACCGACTCACTGCGTGGTCATCATCAGGTTCGAATTTCCACTCTCAGCACCAAATCAAATATGTTTTCATGCGTTTACTTGTTGATTCAATAAAACTGAGGCGTGCATTATTTTACAAGTATGAATGGTTCCTCAATTCCTCATGTAGCAAAACAGATTGATTCTGACATTCATGCATACATGTTGAGTTCCCCACACCTTGCGTTCAATCATCCCTGTAGGTAAAATTCACATTGAGCGTAATTTGTGTATAATTCCAATCACTTGGATTGTATCCACCACGACCACCACAAGATGCGCATAAGAGTATGAAGATGTGGAACAATAGCGAACACCCACCCATTAATTATTCTCTGTTTGTGTGCATACGGCGACGACAACCCCGTTCAAGATTTCTCGTTATTTTCAATGATTTTGTTGATCATAATCATTACAGTCCTGTCAGTATCAATTGCCTCAAACCCAATACATGCGAAATCCATGTAAATGTACAACACTGCACAACGTGTTATTAAGCCTTACGCTTTTGGCGATATGAAAATCATGTGCGCGAACAATTTGTTGAAAACTTCCCTTAATTTGAAATACTAATTTTTCATCAGGCAGAAAATGAAAATGAAAAAAATACGCAGGAAATTGACTATCTCAGCACTTTCCTTGTGTCACTTGATCATGGGAAAATGAGTGTGCTAATGTGCTACCGGCAATTAACACGTACTTTGTGGGATTAGTAATGCCCTATCGTTTGATCTGTTGTCAGGAATTACACGGTACAAATATGTAACAACCAAGTCAATTAGATCGGACACCTACCAACCAACAGACATGTACATATTTAAATACAAGGTTTCTTGGCTCATTGTATGATTTACACACAAATAAAGTACATCTGATCAACCACAAGAACTTATTTTCAAAACCGACAAATACTAATGGGACCTATTTGCACTTTTTGTGGCTCATAATTTATTGTGCAGGTTGTCCGCATATTAAACAAAACCAATCTTAATATTTGAAATACTACTTTGAATAGTAATCCCTTCACGTTGCCGTTGGATTTAAATATTAAAGTTAAAAATTCGGACCACCAAGGTGTTCGGGGTAATTAAGCTGAACAAAAAAGTGAGAAAACCACTTAATGGTATTCAAACACCAACATTACACTTGAACAAAACACAATGTTTAAATCAACAATAAATCGGAGCAAATTATTATCGTAACCCAGTTCCACGGCGGCTACTGCATTCCTAAATACATAACTTTTATGCAGTATACATTCAGAACTATTAGTTACATATAGGTACTAGTAGTAAATTAACTACAGCTCCCCAGTGACGGTGGTCAAATATCTATGTGCATTTACATTTTTTTGCATACGTCCACTTTAACAAGGTTGCTCACTTGGAATTCTTTTCATACGGTATTTTTTGAACGGTGGCTATGTGCTAAATACCAGGTGCATTTTGTCGATAGTATTTAACAGTGCAACTTTATGTATGACAACCTGGGATACATACATGTGTCGACGATTGCATTGAAGGCGCTTGCAAAATGTGCTAATAAGTCATGCTAACACAAACTAACTAAAAGTAAAAATCATTCAAAAATCATATCGCACGAGTTGTTTGTATGTAACAAATGTGAACTTTTTAACGTTAGGATTCTACACAGCTCATCCGAGTGACCCTTAAGCGGCACATGTTGCAAACAATTCAAAGCAAAAATTGTAAATCAATCCTTGGGATGAAAGTAATTATGAATCCTAATTTAAAAATATCCATTTACGATTCAGCTGCGGTGGTTCAAAAAGATTTGTCTGGCCATAATAAGTCGAGTCCTAGTTTGCTCAAAGAGACGAATTGACCGACAATATTGTCCTATTGCAATTTGGAATTGAAAGTTGAGTAGAGTTATTGAGGAAGACGGTGAGAAAATCTAAGAAATGACAATCAATGCAGAAAATGATGAATATCTTACGAATAAATATTTCTATACTCTTTGACGATTGGAGTTCTCTTCAACAATCCAATCGCCGTGTAAAAAGGCGCATTTCTTTCCTAACCTATTTAAATCTTTATAATCAAAAGTAAATAAAATAAATTGAGCTTTCTCAATCTTAAGCTATACATGCAGATGCATACCGTGATGTCTTCAATATGCAGTGTACAGATTCATATCAACAAACAATGTTATCCATTATTTAAACACAACTACTAAAAGTGAAGCTATGTCTGAAAATATCAGCCCAATGTGGGAACAGACAGGAGCATGACCGAATGAAAACTGACATGCAAAGAGGCAAAACATAATGTAAGAAATCATGTTAAGGACTGGAGAAATTGAGAAAGTAAACCCAGAATTTGTTACCAGACGAACATATTTATGTATGGACATACATATGCTTTTGTACATACATGTGCATGTAAAGAAGGGGGTGCGTTTTCGGATGAAAGATTTCCTCAAGAAAGCTGTTATATAAATTGCGTGACCAGCCATGAGTTGTCATAAAAAGTTTTCCAATTTTCTTGTATCTTAAGTTATATTTCACCCCGGAATAGTAAGTGAATGCTACTACACGAAACAAATCAAACGCCCATCCGTGAGACGATTCTGTTTCAAGACCATGTCCAATAGTACAAAATACGTGATAGAAGTTAGGATGAGCAAGGAATGAAGATTAAACAAAATGGGATGTTGTTGTGTCCTTTCCACATATGTAATACTCCATTCCATAAAATCAAATATCTGGATGATGATGTCGCGTTTATTTTTCAGCGTATTCTAAAAAGCAATCTGCACTATGTACATATTTACTTGTGTGGTTGTGCTGCTTATGAATCACAAGTTGTGATGGGTGAATTCAATTGAAATTAACTTGTTTATTTCTCCAGTCCATTAAATTTAACCAACTCGGACAGGTAACAACACAATCCTACACATACACTTGATTATATCCTCGGACGTTATGAAACTATTTAGTGCGTGGGATGTTGACAACTTTCGAGTATTAGTAAGAACTGAACATGTAGTAAGTTGAGGTAGATCACCACTTGTATTAAAAGAAATGTAAAAAATGGGCTTGAGATTATAACTTACTTTTCGGGTCCATTGAGTCATCGACAAATCCGGGATTGTCATAAATTGAGGGTTTATCTGCATCTTTATCTCCCCGACCTTCTTCCACTATCACCAAATCCATCATTCCAGACTCTAGAAACAAACAAAAAACGACAAAATGAATAAAAACACGCGAATAGTAAACACTTTGACCATTCATCTATTTGATGCATACTTTAGTGTACACACTATTTGATTGTTTCCTGTTGTGGCGAAAAACACTTTTCTCACGTCACACAAGCGACAGCTCAATCAAAGCCGTTACGAGTAAATATGGACATGTACACGGATTTTGCAAGATACCGACTAATTGAAATTATCATTATTTTTAAAAAGAGTATGTGTTATTGCACGTATCTTCTTTAAGTCAAATTTCATGCTTATTACCAAACAAATAAAATGAAATGCTGCGCCTTCATTGTAATGTCGTCATATTTCTTGATCACACAATGCTAACAATCGAAGATTAGCAAATAATAATAATTGTGAATGCAAAAATGTGCAATTTACAATCACCGAGAACAAAAAACGGCGTCATCTTTTCTTTCCCTATATAAAATTGAATTACACGCATACGCATTATACGAAAAATTTGTCAGTCAATTAATCGCCAATTCTGAAACTATAAAGCTAATAATAGTAACTGCCCCTCCGTATATTTTATAACGAGAGAAATTTAATTACACACATCGCTGTTACAATCAAGACTTTGTTTTATATGTGCATATATAAAATTGCTTATTAATTGCATACATATAAATGCATGATAGTCAGCTTGGGTAAGTACTCGAATCTATGTAAGGATGAAAGGATGAAATAAATATCGCAAATTTTGCTGTAGATTCTACCTAAATTCAAAAACAGAAAGCAACTGCAGTAAAAACCCTAGTTTATTACTGTAAATAATGCACATAGAACAACATGTTCACCTTTTACATAAAACGATGACTGCAATTTATATGAAATTACCCACTATTTCTACTGTCCCAGCGGATATGACAACTTAATCCTTTTAACCATTCCAAATTACAATTAGTCAGCATACTTTCACATCATGAATTGACTTTGACGAGAACACGGTTTGCCAAATCTCTCGTGAAAATAGGAAATGAAATTGTTTTGAAGTGGTTCCAAATACGTACATAAGTCCCACAGCTGAGCACTTGTAAAAACACAAGTGAAATCATCACTTATCGGTATTGCTACCTTCATTCTCTCCGCATGGAATCCTAGACCAAAATTTCAAAAAATTTGTCCAGTCCAACTTCTTAGAGTTAAACCTCACAAAACTCCACAAAGTAGTTAGTTATGCTGCTCTTCACTATCCATCATTGTTAGCCAGGGGACTTGGACATGAATAGATGCATGACTTGGAGATGAATAGATACGACCATTGCTAATGACATTAACAACGGACCCTTATTCACGCCTCCTTTGAGAACCATCATATACACACAAACGGAATATTCATTTCCTTCTCACAGCCATAAATATAAGGCCGACCAAGAAAATTATAAAAATTTCAATATAATTATCATCATTCATGCACATTGTGTACACTTTTACCGACTGAAGGGAAAATTTAGGCAAGCAAAAAGTACTTTGTCGTGCGTATTGCATTCTACTTTCACATCAGATTATTAACTGAAAATATTTGTAATAAAAATAATGATGATTAGATTACATACTTATAAACTAACAAGTATCTGCAATTTGCTTGATTTTGTTGGTAGATTGCATTTGCAACGAATATTATTTCACTTTCGTGGAAGTCGTGGACAATAATTACATTATGTAAAATATGTTTCTGAATTTATAAGTACATTCATTCCTTACGCAATTAATTTTGAAAGGATTTCGTTTTCAAAGACAAATGAAAATTAAAAATATTTAAGCAAGAATATAAAAGCTGGATTAATTGTTCCTCTCTCTAAATGCTCGAAGGCAATGTCCAGTAAATTTATGGCTATGTCGTACAACGTTAATTTGTCAAAACCAAAAAATCTTTAGAGCCAAAATGTGTGCCACACACATCTGATTTGAAACGAGGTAAATTATAATATGGCTGACAACACAGGGAAATGCAACGCATAGCACGGCATCGGCATTCTTTGACGTTCAATTACGAGTATATTAACATTAATCTTGTTGATGATGAGACTAAATCACTAGTTTGAAAGAAAACGAGTCAAACTTTTACAATTGTGGTATGAGAATTTAGAGCAATTTTGGGAAATCATTTGTTTCATTTTCTTTTATGAGGTATTTCATAACATAATGTGCTTAACAATTATCTATCCTCAGGATAGATGGATAGCTCTGAAAAGTCGAAACCTTACAATATCCTCACTTTCTCACCGTCGCTGCTACTAAGCTCTCAGAGCCATAATATATGTGCATACAATCTCTTTGTCCATCTTCACGTAACGCTGTACGATGAGTGATGATGTAATATTAATAAAAGTTTCAATTAGAAATAAGCCTAAAGACAGTCTTGAAATTCAAGCCTGTCATAAAGACAAAAAAACTAAAAGTTAATTAATGTACTTCTGATTATATCATGACATTTTAGAAACGTCCTACCTCCCAAGTACGAAATAAAGAGCACCAATGCATGGTCATGTAGTACGTAGGAATGTTTTTTATGCAAATGGGTAATGCATCGAAAAGATTGATATTGCACAAGCAGATAATCTCTTCGTTTGCATTTGGCAGGTATTGCGACTGTGCTGAATATTGGTCATGCGAAGTTTTCAATATATTTATTTCACCTGAGCCGGTAGCTAACTTTTAATTTTTTTTTGCATTTTCGTCACTTTTGACTTTTGAGTACATCCCTCCCATCATTCCTCCGACATGACGATTTGATTTAGTTCGTGTGGAATATGATTGACGAATCCAATCCAATTTGGCTTGCCTAATAACCTTCTCAATGTCATCTTAACGACGTATTTGTCTCAAAAGTGTAAAGGATGAAGAAATTGTGTGTATATGATTCAGTAAAAATTTGGTGTCCGCCCAAGAAGATGAGTTGAAAAATTATTATAGCGCTTCTTCCTTCTGTTTTGCTCTGGACAAATTATACAATTATTATCATCTTACTTGTTCAGCGAACCAATACCGAACCCTCGCCCTAGCAAAACCCATTAAGATGGACCATAAATACATATGAATGTGACTGAATATGAATATTGGAATCACAAAAAACGACGCCGATGGGTCAAGCCCATTTAGGTAGAAGGAATGTCAATTAGTCTCATTCTAAATTCTAGATTACTGCCAACTTTTTTGCGATTAAAGGCCAGCAGGTTAAATTCGCAATATGTACGTACATACTCCACGCCAAGCACAAACCATGACATATCGGTTTGCCACAGTGAGTAGTATAATATCTCAAAATAAGCTCACTGCTGCGAATAACAATCGTTTTTTGCTGGATTCTGCAAACAAACAATTTTACCACTGAGGAGGGGAGCTTGCGAGGTTGATAATAACAGATCTTGATGCCCTTTGGATATGTGGTAGGGACCCATGAGTGTACTAAAACCCTGAAGTGGTTTGACTCCATGGCCACATTTACGCCCGCCACACCCACTCAAAAATGCCCAAAAAACGCTTTCACTCCAGTTTTCACTCACTCAAATCCACGCCAAAAATCCAATTTTACTCGGATTTTGAAATTTCTTTCACCAATATACTCCCAGATAGTTTCTTTCTTCAATCCAATATCAAACTCAATTTTTTCGAAATTTTTAGTATTTTTAAAATTTAAATTTCTGAATGAGCATTGTTGTAGCAATCAACAAAACAAATTATGTTTGCGAAATAATCATCAATAAAATTGAGTTTGATATTGGATTGAAGAAAGCAACTATCGGGGAGTATATTGGTGAAAGAAATTTCAAAATCCGAGTAAAATTGGATTTTTGGCGTGGATTTGAGTGAGTGAAAACTGGAGTGAAAGCGTTTTTTGGGTATTTTTGAGTGGGTGTGGCGGGCGTAAATGTGGCCATGGAGTCAAACCACTTCAGGGTTTTAGTACACTCATGGGTCCCTACCACATATCCAAAGGGCATCAAGATCTGTTATTATCAACCTCGCAAGCTCCCCTCCTGAATGTGGTCTGCCAGCAGCGTATAATTGCAACGTGTGCTGGCATTTCATGCATATTTTGCAAATTACATAGCTAACCGTTGGGCTAACCTCAAAGTTAAATAAGATTTTTATGTAAACTTTACACCCTTCAAAAATAAAGAATACATCGGAATGTTGCTTTGACTGATATCAAATTTCCTCTTTCAATTTAATAGCTCGCGTGCCCTTTTGTATTTAAATTTACGTTTTTATGCATAACTTGATTTGAAATTTCTTCTCTCAACATTTTCCAACATCGGAAATTGAAAATGTCATCACTTTCAACACATCGATTATTAATTCTTATCGACCACTTGTGCGATGAAGAATGATTCGCCCAGAATCGACAAGGAGCCGCACAAAAAGATGGAACAATAAAGTAATAAATATCTGTAAACACGAGTTGGTATGTTTGATTACAATTACATGCACACGATGACCATACTATTACAGCGATGAGACATAGCTCCTTGTGGATGGAAACTGATTTAGCTCATCAAGTCTTAGAAGCTACAAATGCACTCACACACGGCCATGTAAAAATATGCAGGAGCAAGAGTTGGAGCGAGCCTTTGTTCCACAAAAGTAATCATACACCGACGACCTTTTCATCATTTATTATTATGCAAGCAGCATGATAATAACACTGGGATTTAATTTGTAGTCATTCTAGTGCAATGAGCGAAGAAATATGTACACTAGGTGACCTTGAATTGGTAGGATGGCACATAAAAAGTCCACATATATTTACTACGCGTTCTTCTTTGTTAAAGAAAGACGAGTGAGTGTGTGCATTCTTCAGCTCGATAGCATCACTTATCATCGCATTCCAGTCGCCTGGTGTCCAAACAACTGCCATCTTCATAATATGGTCAAAATAAACAACAATCGATTCCCAACAAAATAATTTGACTCTCTGACTGGACAACGTACATAACGTCACGCCGTGCATTTCATTC